TTCATCTTTCTTTCTGATGTTCTTAAAATATGAAAGGAACTATTTTTTGACTTATTTTACATTGAGCTGCCCCATGTGTATTTTATTTTGTAAAAGCCTAGTTTTCCAAATGCTATAAGGCTAGAAAGATGGACTTTTCTGTTTCCTGGGAGGAACTTTGAAAGCTTGAACCATGATTTCCTGGAATATGTGAGATGTGAGGATGCCTCAAGATATCTGACCACTACCATGAAATACCTGCATCTCACTGAGCATCTCATGCCGTTATTGAAAGTGTATATTATGATCATTAATACTTTCATTGCAAGGACTGACTGGCACATTCAAGAGGCTATGGGGCATGAACTCATGGGCTCACTGCTTTTAACATTGCTTCACTATAAGCCAGGCAGATCAAGGGCTCTCTGCTACGGTCTTAAAAATTGGACCTGTCATCTAGATTCCAATAACTGTTCTCCTGTTCCACTCTGATTCTTGACTACAGCATTTGTTACTCCCGGGTTTCTTCTCATAGCTCTTCTGAAAAATTTTATCTCTCTTTTCTGTCTTTATGATGTTCCAATCAGGATACAGATGGCCATTTGATGCCTGACTGCTGCATCACAGAATGGGCCTTGTATACTGTACATCAGTTGTCTGTTTTTCTACCCATATCATATCCTAATTCAGCAATGACAATCCCAGCAGACTGAAGCCTGCTGCTGTAAGCATCTTTGCAAGAGTATTTTCTTTAGGATCTCATTCTTATAAATCAGCCCAAATGTCCTAACACCTGGTGCCACATTAATTATTTGAAGACACTTAAACAATGTTACCAGTCCATGAACATAATCATAATATATACCATAATGTCTTGGCTGTAAGATGGCCTATTAAGAGTTAAGCTGAATAAATCTCCACAAAATGAATATGATTTTTTATTAGTGCCAGTTAACCAAAATTTTTCTATAAATATCTGACTCAAGAAATTACAAAGCCCCTAAATACTAATCAAGGTGGTCTCTGGGAAAAATCTGAGTGGCAGGACTGGAAAGTAGTTATAATTTACTAATCAGAAACATAATCAGTGTTTTAGCTCCTGTTTTGGAAAAGGTGGTATAAATATAACCAGAATAGTGACTAAAAAAGTATAGAAATGAAAAATCCCAAACACAAATGTTGTTGATCCTCGTGTAATAGTCTGATGGAACAGAAATCTTAAGTAAAGGACTTGAACATTTACAACAAAACTGCTGACAAATGGAGCATCTACTGTATGATAGGTATGCGCTGTTCTCAAAAATCTTTGGCATTCAGTGGTACTGTTGCACTTTGAAGTATCTACATGGTACAGATGAAGGGAATTAAGTTAAACGTCTTATTACCCAAGCAGTTCAACTGTAGAGATGAGTTTTCAACCTAAGTTCTAGGGTTTCAAGAACCTCTGTCTCACAAAGAGTGCTATTTGTTTTTTGGTTTTTGGTTTTTTTAGGGGGGTACCAGGGATCGAACTCGGGTCCTTGCACTTGCGAGGCAGGCAGAGGAACCACTGAGCTAAATCCCCGGCCCTTAAAGAGTGCTGTTGGACTTTCTTATAACAAGACTCTTTCCCAGATAAGAGACTTAAGATCTTCTGAGCACCCACATATGTGATTAAGACAACCAAGTTATAGAAGATCTCATGTCACAAAATCCTTATATTCCCACCTTAGCCCCCTGGAAGGCATTGGTCTGTTTTTTGTTTCTGTCTACATTTTTATGTAAGGCTCACCAACCTGTAGTGACACTTTGGGGTGACAATAAGCATTGATCAGATTGACAAAAAACATCTAGTTAAACTGAAAGTTGGATATCTTATTTCAAATTAATAGACTGACATTCTGATTAGAATGTGGCTTTCTATATTTGGTTAGTAGGAAAGTTGATTGGCATGCTAAGTACAGGTATCTGGCTGCTTGAAAATGCTCTTTATATAAATTAAAATGTCATCAGCATGTTTCTGTATTTGTAGGAGTGACTAATATGAATCTGGGTATAAAAATATAACTTACATTACTGTGTCTTTAAATGTGATTTATATTGATAAAAATTTATATTGATAAAAAATATATATTGATAAAAAATAGTATGACTAAAAGCAAAAACACATCAAAGAAAATAGCCAAAATCACATTGAATTTCAGAATGTTGTTCATCTCAGTGTTTTGAACAGAATTTGTTCAGCCAGCCTGCATGTATTAAACATCTTTACCAGGCTAGAAAGTGGGTGCAGACATGGGACACTGGGCAGAACTTAGAACACTCTCAGCTGTGAAAACAAGTGGAAAGTGTCTGAAAGATAAGAGATGGGGCAAATGGAGTTATGAAAGAAAGAGGGAGCACTTCCCACCCCTCCAAAATAAGGAAACCACCACGAGAATTGTATGAGAACACACCAGTGAATGAGGCAGGGTCTGCTAGTAGTTTCTATGACATGTACTATAAAGAAGATCATTTCACTTCTGGCTCTGTGAATATATATGAGTATATTTGTTTTTCCACCCTTGCCATCCTGACTGTAGAAGAAGCTTACACTATAGGTGCACCCTTTTCTCTCATGTGTTCTCAATTACCTTTCAATGGATCCTGTGCATTGGCTTTTAAACTTTACTATAGTACCTGGGCTATAGCTCACTGGTAGTGTGATTGCCTAGCATGCATTCCATCCCCAGCACCACAAACAACAACAACAGCAAACACTGTGGCAGTTAGAGTGGAGTTTCAATTTCATTGGCTTTGGACCACCAAGTGTGTTGGTGGAGCTCACTTTGAGTGTGTCTGGGTGGGCCATGCAGGCATGAACTGGGGTCTATGTAGAGTCCCTGGCCCTTTCCTTTCTTCTTCTGTTGGCCTACTCTGCTTCCCAGTCACCATGAACTAAGCAGCTTTGCTCCTCTATACCTTTTTCCACTGAGATGTTTTTTCCCTGGAGCCAGGTGACCATGGACTAAATATTCCAAATCATTAACTAAATCAAACTTTTATTTAAATTGTAGGTGTCAGGTATTGTGTCTAAGGGATGGGAAAACTGATTCATAAAGACTTTTGGTAACTGAGAAGTGGAACCATTGCTGAGTGTACCTGGACATGCAGTTTAGAAGCCTTTGGAACTGGTTTCTTGGAGGAGTTTGGAAAGGTTTGGAGATGCAAGCTAGAGAATCCTGAGAATGCTGTAAGAAGAGCTTGATAGGTGATTCTGGCCAGAGCTCAGAAGACCAGGATGTTGAAAGGAATGTGGATAGTAAGGGCCCAGCTTAGGTTTCAGTTAGGAGCAAGGACTTCATTGACAGTTGGGCTAGAAGCCATTTGTGTTACAGTCTGGAAGAAAATCTGTTCACATTTTTCCAATGTCCTGAGACTTTGCAGGAGATTTATATTGTGGGTACTGGACTATTTTATCTGATGGAGGAAATTTCAAGACATCCCAGCATTTGGGCTGTAGCATGGGTACCACTGGCTGGTTTTAGGCGGATTTATAATGAAGATCAGAGGCAAAAGACAAATTAGAAAAAATAAGAAAAACTTAAAATTTTAGCCCAGAGGAACCATATGTAAAGTTGTGGCCAAATGAGATGTGGTTGCTGAAGAGACTAATGTAATTGAAAAGAAACCAAGTCCTTTGTACAGGGACAAGAACAAAGATGCCTTGAAGGTATCTCATGAATCAGCAAGGCCCCAAACATGCCAAGATCAAGGGTACAAAATATAAACCTTTCATTTGTTCCACTGACAGCAGGCTTTGACATTGTACACCAATACAAGAGTTGTTACGTCAGGGAGCCGGCTTGTTTGCTTGTTTGTTATGCAGTACTGGGAATTGAACCCAGGGCCATCACACTGAGCTACACCCCAGCCTTTATTTTTATTTTTATTTTTTTATTTTGAGACGGGTCTTACCAAGTCTCCTACTTGCCCATGCTGGGCTCCAACTTATGATCCTCCTGCTTCAGCCTCCCAAAGTGCTGGAATTACAAGTATGTACCACCACATCTGGAAAAATGCTTATTTTGTGCCCGGAATTTAGCTCAGTGGTTCTGCCGCCTGCCTCGCAAATGCAAGGTCCCGAGTTTGATCCCCGGTACCAAAAAAAAAATGCTCATTTTAAGAGGCTAACCTGATCTCCTCTTTGCTTTGTATCTTTCCATGTTTTCTTATTCCTCTTAGAATAATAGTTTACATCCTTTTTATGGTCTACTAGGCTTGGTATCTGAGAACTCCACAGCTCAACTCCCATCCCACCCCCTTGCTCCATTTTCTTTACTATGCCTCTCCACTCTCAGCTGCTTACACATGTCCTCCTCTGCACCACCAGAGGACCTTTGTACACACAGCTCACCATGCAGGAACACTCTTCCTGCCTCGCTCTGCTCCATCTACTAACTAGTAAATTCTTATGCATCTGTTAAACCTCATCTCAAAACTCACTTATTCAGGAGAGCCTTCCCTCATCTTACAGGCTACTTCAGGTGACTATGTTAAAATCTCCACAAACTGTATTCTACTTCAGAGTATGTCTATCAATTTCCAGTTAGGGTTTAAAAGACTACCATCATACTCAGTGATTTTTCTAGAAGCACCCACAGGGTTCAAAAAAGCATCTATATTCATAGTTGCACCTTATTCCTGGAAGGATACAGATTCAAGGCAGGAAAAAGAAAGTGTGAGCAGGTTGGAGTTTGGGAACCAAGCATAGGCTTCCAGATATCCTCTCCAGTGGAGTTGCTGGGACAGTACTTAGTTCTCTCATTCAATCAAGGAAACTCACCTGAGTTTCAGATGCTAGGTGGTACTGGAGGCCAGGCAGGAAGGCACGGAGCACCTTAGCTCCTCAGTCTCCGCTGCCCAGAGATGAAACTGGCCCAGCACGACCCAAAGCCTCAGACATGTGGAAACAGTCATCACTGTAAATTACAGTGTTGGTGTGAACTCTCTGAAGAGATGCAAGGCCTCAAGCATAAAAAGACACTTTTATCTTTTCCCAGAGCTCAGAAGTCATCTTGGAGGCCCCAGGCGAAGACCAGTCCTGCAACCTTGGAAGGCAGCTATGGTCACCACTATACCACCAACGCCACACCAGTCATGCAACCTTGGGATGTGCAGGGTTTGGGCAGCCAAGGCTTGCTGCACTAACCCTTTGCTGCATGTGTTTCAACAGTGCCATTTACTTGATGAATGTCTCTTTTCCGGCAGATGACATGAGAACAGTGCTTGTAACTGTTTCTGCTCAGCATGATATTCAGAACCCTTAACATGGTTACTGACATACAGGAGGTGTCTGTATTTGTTGAATAAATGAATAAAGGAGTAATGTCTACTTTCTGTTGTCATTATTTCCTTTCATAATATACCATATTCCATGTCTTTTTGCCCATCCCCATCTCTTTCATGCATTGTTTCTTAATTATGGATCTTGATATGTGACTTATCCCTAAAGTTATTTTGTGCTACTGAATAACATGTTGTAAGTACATAAAATATTATATTATATTCCTCTACCTTTCAATTACATTCTTATACTGCCAGGTATTATATTATCCCAATATAAATACTTTTTAAGTGGCAAATGTTTTTTGGTTTTTTTTTAAGTGGCAAATGTTTTTCACAATTATATTCAAAATACATGTAGTCAATACATCAAATTATGTGATACCTATTGCTATTATCAAAATGTTATTTGTAAAAGAGTGAGCTATTGACTTAGAATCTGCCATAAGAATTTCAATAAGCAAATCATGCTTAACTTTGAAACATTATATATATATATATATGTATAAAATTTTATCCTGGGTGTGTTAGAAATAGAGGAAGAATATTGCATGGATCGAGGGTATAGATCACCAGGTGTCCTCCTGCAGATCCTCAGCTTCTTCCCATTCCAGGTCCATGTGATACCAACTACTTTCTGTACCCACAAACAGTCTGCTTGGCCAGCAGATGAAAGATGACTGCCATGAATTTGAATACATCTCCATTAACAATAACTTCATGGTGGTTTTAAATTACAAACTCAAAGTGTAAAATACATATGTGTGAGTCCATACCGATATAAGCATGATTAAATAAATGGAGAAAAGACAATTTTCCTGTGCAGAAGAATTCCAAATAATTCATATAGATATTTTGCCCACAAATAGGTGGAACAAAAATCTCCACCCCTTAAGTGTGGGTTTCACAAAGTGACTTCTTTTACAAGATTGGAGGATGAGAAAGGAAGTGAGAGGTGGTGCCACTTGGCGTGATGGAATGTGACAAACGCTACCCCAGCCAGGTGGTCAAGGTTCACATCAGCAGTCTTAACCTGTATTCACACATCCTGGATCCAACCACCTCCAAGAAGCCCCACCTATGAGTGCATGAGGCTTTGGGGAACATCTAGATACAGGCCATAATAGGTGGTGAGAATTACCACTGTGATTGTCCTCAAGACCTGTGACTCCAGCTCCTGGTCAAACCCAAAGAAAGGTATCAGACAAACTCAAATTGTAGGACTCTCTGCACAATGACTGTACTCCTCAAGCTGTCACAATCATCAAAACCAAAGGATGCCTGGGAAGCTGGCACATGACTACTGTAATGTGATGGCCTGAGTGGGATCCTGGGGCAGAAAGAAAAGACATTAGACAGGTTAAAAAAAAAAAAGAAAGAAGGCAATTTGAAGAAAGAATGAATTTTAGATAATGTGGTATGACTTATTTATTAATTGGGAGAATGTAAAATAATAAGAGAAACTAGAGACTCTATCCCAGGGATGACGAACCTTCTAGAAATGAGTCCTCAAACTACAACCTAACACCCACTTACTAACACAAAGTGCTGGCGGTGCAATTAAACCTGAAGACTTTAGTTTAGAAAAAACTACTCATGCATTAACTTCTTTTGTCTTAAAAGAACAACAAATAACTCATGTGCCATAGGTTCACCAAACACTGCTCTATACCATCTTTGCAGTTTTTCTGTATGTCTGATACTATTCTAAATTTTAAAACATATTCAAGGTTTCTATGGTATGATAGAGCTTCATTTAATCTTAATGCTACTTGAAATTTACTTATTAGTATTATTTGCTTTTGATGAAATATTACCACAGATTGATTGGACTAACTCAAGTTTTTTTAATACAACTGTCATAAATTTGATTTTTTTATGACAGATGCAGAACAATTACATCATCATTTAATTTTCGTAAAAATTTCTATCCTCTGTGATTATGACTTAGAATTCTTTACAATCAGATTCTATGAGTCACAGAGTAGATCCCATTTCAAACTAACAGTAAAAAGTAATTAACTAAATAAATTGACATAAAAAAGTAGTGTTTTGAGAGGAGTGTAGACTATGTGTCGGTAAGATAGACTTTACATACTTAGTTTGATTAATCTTTATTTTTCTAAGGATGTAATTCTTTTCTGTAATCATCATTCTGTTTTCCCTGATGGACTATCAAGTATTGGCTGCTTTAAGGTCTCTGTGAATTGAGTTATTCTCAATAATTCTCTGTATTATGAAGGTATTATTTGAGTGGCTGTCCATTGTGATCTGGTTATTTGGACCTTTACATAAAACAGGTGGTTTTTCTGGTTCATTGATATTTTTTATTACCCAGAGTGTATCATCATTTTTCCTATGACTTGGTCACCCACAACCCAACTTAGATGTGGCTCTATCCAATGGTTTGCCTCAGTTTCTTTGGCTTCGCATTTACATCCTGCTCTTTCCTCCAAGATGTTCCAAATTCTGTTATTACCAAGGCACTCGCTAGAGGAGTATGTGCTTAATTATGCTCTGATTAATTCCCAAAAGGCTTTGCAGCCACTACTTTTATTTGTTTGGCACTGTGAGATGAGCCAGGCAGCTGCAGCCCTGCCGAATGAATCAGAGGAAGCATTTTTTTGTTTATGTTTTTGTTTTGTTTTGTTTTGTTGTTTGCTGTGGGCCTAGGGATAAATCCCATAACAAGAGAGCAAGCAGCCTCAGGTCTGTGACCTTGCTTTCCCTGCGCTGCTCCATGGTGCCATTTCCAATGACCCAGATGCCTGGAGTTTGACCCTGTTTGTCTGCTCAGACCTCTGTCTTGATCTAGATGATGCTGTGAACTTGATCTGTTGTACTATGACTAGACTCCCAAGAGCACAAGCTTTACAGTCAAATGGTGCCAGGCATGTGTCTTGCCTCATTCAATTGTTAACTTAAAAAAAAAACACCTCTGTGGGTCTCAGTTTCCTCATCTGTAAAATGAGAAAAATAATAGCACACTTGCAGAGTTGCAATAAAAGTTACATAAAATGTTTCTGAAGCTCCTTTGGACAGCCCACCTCTGTGTCATCATGAACACTCACCCATCCTCATCCTTGCTGTCAGCGTGACCTTCTGTAGCCCTCGGCCCTGCGCTGGCTCTCCTGCGCCCGACATCACAGCTCACGTGTCCATTTCCGCACTGGCTGCTTTTTTCTAACCACTGTCTCAGTGAGATGAGCAGACTCATCAACTTCTGTGCCCTGCTTTAATTTTCTTTAAAATTCTAAAGAATGTTATTTGAGCAGTTCTCACTAATGTAAGTAAACGTGTCTTTAGAAATGTGATGTTTTCTTCCCTGTATTTTGTAGCCTGTTATTTGCATGATAACCTGAAGTGCCCTGGGAAGACCCAAGGGAGGGATCTGCTTTGATCTGCTTCGGGGTGTTAGGATCAGGTGGGAGAAGAGAATAAGAAGGAAGACAAAAGGGGCAGATAAATGGATTCCAGGGCAAGGACTCCATAGCCTGGCTCCCCAGCTGTTGGCTTTGATGCCTTGGTCAAGTTACTTAACTTCTCTGTTACTATAGTTTTCTCTTTTGCAAAATGGGGATAAAAAAAGTGCTCAACTCTGTAAGTGTAGAGCGCTCAGAGCACTTCCTAGCATGTAATAATTAAGTGTCCAGTATCATCAGAATTATTCTTTCCATACCATTTACTATGCCAGATAATCTATTTACTGATGATATAGATATGTTTTGTCACAGCCTCAGTAAGTTAGAGTAATAAGATCATTTTGGTTTCTTTAGTATATTTATGCAAATAAATGTTTTCCTTTTATAGTAAGAGGTGCTACATTTTTGTTGATATATCAACATATATGAATATTTTAAAATTTTCTTTAGATTCTACAAATATGTTCTTTATATATCTTCAGTTATAACAACTCTGTCTTTTGAAATAATGTTGATAGTCTACGTAGTTATATAATTTCATGTATGCATAAATATATATTTTTCTAACATTATAATTTTAATAAAGCATATGTGCACATAATATATTCTACACAAAAGACATCTGTGACCAAGTGAGTAGGTGTGTTTTGGAAGGCAAGTGTCCCAAACTCATGCTGTTTGCTGAATTATTTTCATGAAGAAAATGTTGATCATTGAGCACAGGTCACAGTTTGAAAAATCACTCTGAATCTCTCCTTTCAGAATCTTTTCTTCACAGCCTAAATAGTACTTTGATCATGTGAGATGAGTTCTATATGAGCCATGCAGTGAAGCGAATGGAGGAAGGCAAAGAACATCTCTTGTCTTTGTGGTCCTGGCACCCTCTTCTTCATTTCCATGTCTTTGCAACCCTGTACACAGCATGGCCTGATCGCATTGCTCTTGGGGCACCTGCAGAAAAGGCCATTGAATGCAAGTAGCCATGGTGCCATACGTGCTCAATCTACCTGAGAGTCCTGGGTTTCTGCTGGCGTCCTCTATTACTTAGGGAAACTATACTACTTTAACAGCCAATGATATTTCTGTATGCATATGGCATCCTGAGCAAGGCCATTTTAATTATTTTAAAATTTCCTCAGTCTGCTCTGTACTTGAATAGAGAGTGATTGTTTGTGCTGATTACTTTTGAAAGTCTCTATTACACTGGTGTCAAAAAGCAGTTGTTGACAACTTTGTTCATATTAAACACCATTAGACACTTCTCTAACCGTCTGCTACTTAATTTGTTAGGTATGTTTCACCAATAGCAAAACACAGCAGTCTGTGTGCACATCTTGGCCTATGTCTGGACCACACAGGTAGCGTATCATCATGGCTTCTTCTTCAAACTCACTGGAGTGCTGTGTGACCACTGTACTCAAGCCAGGGATCCACTGTGAGATGTCTTTGCCTGAGTTCAAGACAGGGGCTTGAGACTATGACACTGTTATTGCAGAGGGGGTTCTGCAGTGAGGCTCCTAAAAATGAGAGAAATTCTGAGAAAATACGACTTGTGGATCCCCAGGACCATAAAAAGCCTGTGTAGTGATGTGGTTTGGATATTCTTTGAGTGTGTCCCTTATAGGTTCTTGTGCTGAAAGCTTGGTCTGCCGTGGTGGTGTTGATAGGTGGAACCTTGAAGGGGTTGAGCGTAGTGCAAGGCAATTAGGCCACTGCGCTCCA